GTGGAGGCTTGAGGGTATTTATAGCCCCCTTTGGAAAACTAGCCATTTTATAGCCGTTGCAATACCGGACATGTCCGATATGCACACCGGACACGTCCGGTATGACTTACACTGCGCCAACGATAACTAAGTTACAGTGAAGTTGAGGCGTCGGAACTCCCGATGAATGCCGAAATTTCTGATCGTCGGAACTCCCGACGAACCAACCCGAGGATAAAGGTTTTACAACTGCTGGATAAATACCGGACACATCTGGTATCAATACCGGACACGTCCGGTATCCCTAGACTAGCAAGAAAACAGTTAGCACTTTTATCTCTCAAACACTCAAAACTCATATGGGTTGGCTTGAGCACTTATGAAACATCATCTATCAACATGATGCATCCCTCTTAATAATACGGCATTCCTATTAACTCAAATTTAAAAGTATAACGAAATTAAACCTTTTGAGTTGATCTCTTTGAATCGAAGCCGTGTTTTCCAATCTTCATCAAGTGAGGGTGCCAATCATGTTGATATTGATCTTTTCACTTGAGCATAACCATCTTGAGCACGTGACTTGATTCCATCCATCAAATATGAATAACTCCAAATGCATCAAGTCACTTTCAACACTTTGTCCAATATAGGTTTGATCCTCCACATCAATATGACCGTCATAGCTTGATTAGTACCTCAACTAAATGCAAGTATTTCCTTCTTCACCCTAGCTAGGTTCTTCGGCCGCCAAGCCGTCGCTTGCCCTTCACCCTTGCTTAGTACCTCAAAGCCTTTCCTTGCTATCTTCACCATCAAGTCATATCTTGTGTTGAATAATCTATTCATTTGTATTGTTGTCTTTTTCATTTCAATTTAGCAAGCTTCAAATATGAGACCATTCCATATGCAATCCCTCATGTCTCATTAATTAATACTTAAGAGCTTGCTTTCACATAGCACATAGAAATCCCACAATAAATAACCCTTTGCATGAATTCCATTTGCATTGTTGTCTTGTGCTTGAACTAGGTTGTTTATACAACAACACATTATTTTGGCTTTCATTAAGTACCTGTGAGATAACCTATTACCTGTCCACACTTAGCAAATGGGTTAGTCCTTTAATTATGTTGTCATTCAATCATCCAAAACCCACTAAAGAGCTAGATGCACTTTCAGGAGTACTAGCCTCAGTCGTTTCGCAACCGAACGAGAGGCCGATGATCCGGTACCAGTTGTCATCTACTTTCTATACTTATTTTTGCAAACTAGTGTAAATTTCATATTTTCTAAAATAATATATTTAAACAAAACTAAAATTATTTATTTATCTAACTATACCATGAAATATGTACTATGTATAATAGTAAAATACCAAACTATCAAGTGATTTTACTATTGTAAATCATCATGTGATTTTGAGCTAAAAATGACATAGAAATCATAATCAAATCCACCGTATCAAGTTACTTTCTATACTTATTTTTGCAAACTATTGTAAATTTCTCATTTCTAAAGTAATATATTAAAAAAATAAAAATATTTATTTATCTAACTAAACCATGAAATGTACTACATATACTAGCAATACTAAACTATCAAGTGATTTTGATGAACTAATTTAACTTTTGTTTATCCAAACATATATGCAAATTATCATGTGATTTTGAGCTAAAAATGACATAAAATCATAATAAAGTCCAACATATAAAGTTACACATGCATCTACATCGCAAAATTAGATAAGCTACTAATAAAACATAAGAGGATTAAGTTTGTTATCTTCAAAATCGAAGAGCAACACTAATGGATGGGGAGAGAGCAAGAACAACAGCAAGCTGAAGAACAGAGGCAGTGAGTTTGAATGGAATGGCTCGGGCTCGGAGAGGAAGAAATAAGCTGGTCTATAGGCCGGGATAATTAGTCCCGGTTAGAGGGTCAAACCGGGACTAAAGATTAATCTTTATTCCTGGGGCATCACCCAAACCGGGACTAAAAGCTTTAGTCCCGACTGGTAGTCCCGGTTGGTAATACCAGCCGGGACTAAAGATCCTACTCCGCGGACGACCGTTGGGTAGGAACCTTACCAACCGGGACTAAAGGAACCTTTAGTCCCGGGGGCAAAAAATGCCGAGACTAATGCTAAATTGAGACATCGTTCTCAAGTCTGTTCTCTAGTAGTGATCGGTGGGCGACGAGTGGGGTCGCGTGGCCCTTGCGACGGCTGGTCTCATGGCCCCTCCGACGAGTGCCTCTCTTCCCTCTTCCCTCTTCCCGGCGACCGGTGAGACCACATCACCGTCGAGCTTCTCCCCAAGCCATGGCAGCCGCGTCGAAGGTTCGAGGCAGCAAGCTCCTCCCTGTGCTCATGGCAGCTAGCAGCAGTGTTTTCGTGCTCGCCAACAGCGTCACGGTTGTAACAGAGAGGGGTGGGAGAAAAAATATTTTTTTATTCTTAGAGACAACCCATTTTTTCTAGATAAATGATAAAATATCCGGCTTCATCTATCCAAGGATAGAATCGATCCAATTATTACAGACTCCAAACCTGGGCACAAAGTTCGGCTGAAGTAAAACTTACAACCACACACACGACTAACGGAACAGGTAAAAAGTTTTTGATTAAACCAAACCAACATGCCTTTGTGAAAGCCAACCATTGAATCCAAAGAAATCTAAAGCCGACGTCTCTAGGTGTTGTGCCACAGAGTTCATTTGATCTTTAAGATCTTGATGCCGCTGTAAGTTTGTCCAATGACGAAGCCAATGCGTTCCTCGAAATAGTATCTGCAAAAAAGATTTTGGTTTGCATTTGTCAAAAACCACCTTATTCCTTGTTATCCAGATTACTCAAAGAAGTGCGGAAGCTGTTGTTAATAACAATGTATTGTACTTTTTGTTTTCCAATTTAGACTAATGATAGAACAAATCATTTATATTTGTGGGAGGTGATATCTTAAAAAGTTTATATATAGAGCGCCACAAAAATTTGGCATAAAAGCAATCAAAAAAGAGATGGTGAATTGTCTTTGAAACATGGCAGAAACAAAAACTTTTGTCTCCGTTTTAATTTCTCCTAGCCAAGTTGAAGTTGTCTTTGGTCAGAGACAGCCCATATACTGTGGATACCTTTTGTTACGGATCTGATAGCGAATAATTTACTACTGCTTTTGTAACACACTGTGGTTGCTACGTGACGTGGCTATGGCCTATCCACCGCGGGAGCACAGCACGGGACTGATAACTTTCACTGAAGTCATAGTGTTTGGTTCAAGCATTGGTTACACCATGGAAAGGGATGCAATTACATTTGGGGATCGGACCTGAATAGCCTAGTAACCGATTACAGTGTAATGGAATACCAGACTTCTCTCCGCAATGCATCCACACGAGCCAAACGCTATTGAATGCGGTACTTGATACAGACACAATCACACACTTGACGTCTTCAGCGCTTCAGCCACTACCCCTCCTTCCCCAAGGATGATGATAGAATAGATAGGGGCACGAGACACAGCCTTGCCGACCACGGCAGCTGAAAGTGGAAAATTCAGACCCCCTTGTCTCGCTTTCAGACCCTCCTTCCCCAAGGATGATAATTAGGCATAGTACATACCATGTGGTTTGCTTTGTTTTGTTTTTTTTTTGTTGAAAGAAAAGTTCTTTTTTACTTATATAATAAAGTTTTTAAAATTAAATTTCTGAAGGTATTTTTTGGGTACTTGCAGTGTTTTTTTAAAAGAAAATGGTACTTGAACAGTGTGCACGCGCACCTAGACGGACCGCAGCAACATACATGGCCTGGATACGGTATGCTTGGATGAGGAGCACTAAATTTCTGAAGTTAGAAGTGAGCAACTTACTCGCAAAAAAAAAAAAGTGAGCAGCTTGAAAAGTTCTAAATTTCTGAAAGTTAGAGGTGAGCAACTTAAAAGGTTTTTGGAGATGTCGAGCTGGCCCTTGGGTGCACGGGCGCTGGCACGCTCACTAGAGTACTCCGTACGTGTATAATGCTACAGTTTGTGACGTTTTCTTTTGATCATGTTCGTTTCTTTTATAATCCGTACTTTTCGACTTGTTTTTTCAGCCGAAAACAGTGTTTTTCTCTCACAATAAATCAGCCAAACAATGTTTCGACTTATTTTTTCAGCGAAACGAACGGGTCTTAGTCACGGACCCATCCTGGGACGATGAACGAAGCTGACACCGGGTCGTGGACTGGATGCAAATCATCCTGCAGCCTGTTCGGCTGAGGCTTGAAACGATCGTATACGATCGTGAATTATTACTGTTGACTTTGATTTGGTGTGAAAGAAAAATACTATTTTAACTAAAAATTTACGATCATTTACGACAACCGATCAGACGGCTGGGTGGTGTGGCCAGGATTGGGCCGTCACGACGTTCCCTTCCGCGGATGCGCAGGTGGCAGTCGGGACGCGGGATGGCCACCTCACGGGTCACGAGCTGCTGCCTGATGCTTCGTTGAAGCATGATCCTTCGTTTTCGGTTGTCCTACATGCCCCCATGCTTCACCCACGTGCAGACGTGCTCTGGGACCGTGCGGGGTGGCGGTGCCTCTCCTCTCAACAAAAGTCTTGATTGATAAGAGATGGGTAAAACAGACCCCACTGACTCTATATATCTCTTAGCTTGTCCTATAAATAACTCGATGAAATGATTTTTTGTCTTTAAAAAAACAAATACAAGATGTTTCTATTCTTATCCGTTCAAATTGCGTGATGGTCGGCTCTCCGAGAGGATGCATGTTGGCACATACACGTCGACATTACACAGCAAATAAAGGAGAGGCATAAAATTAAACAAGCCTAGCTAGTACGACCGTGCACCATAACCAGACAAAAATCTCTCAAAATAACAGCTGGCCACAAATGCAACACACATCTGTTAAACACAGCAGCTAGCTAGCGGTTCTATCTATCTATCTGCTACACTGCTATCTGAATCCCCTTTGAAGACTGCTGGCTGCTGGCTACTGGCTACTGGCTACTGGCTACATGCAGCTGATTGGCTGCTACATCCTGACCGTTCAGGATGTGGGGTGTTGTAATTTTGGTGGCAACAGCTAAACAGAGATATTTATCTTCAGCCGCATAAATATCTCAAAAGGCAACTAAGAACATATATAAGATCATTACTAAATGTTATTGTGTAGGAGCTTATTGTTACTACACCAAAGGCATATTATCTATATTACTATATACAGTACCTCCCTTTTTTTTAGAAAATGGAAAATTTTTGGCCTATGAGACAATGCCTCTCTTGTTATCATGCATTTATATTCAACCGTAAATTATAGTTTGTAGTTGAAAAAACATTTGAATTGATGTAGTATATATAAATGTTGATGATTTTGCAAATATCCTAGTGATTATGTATGTATAAATAGTTATCTCAAAATTGAGGCACCAACCACACAAAAAGATGCTTTTGGTGCGAAAATAAAATATCTTGCTGAAAGATCCTGCTGCCTGGCCTACCATATGGGCAGCGGAAAAACCTCATCCTAAACAAAGAGCCAAGATTAATTTGGTCGGCTAGAAACGGCTCAATTGGCCCCTCTCCTCTATCATTAGTGGTCGAACCCAGGGGACACAACGTATGGGGCATCGCGACCACACATCCTAATTCGTAAATAAAAGGCAAGTCCAAAAGCGAGAAGAGTTTGATGCTACGCGCATACGGAGAAAACTTTGTTCACGCCGCTGCTGTCGCTGACACGAAACAGCAGTGGACGAAACTCCTGACTCCTCTCACTGACATAAAACAGCACTAGCTACCAGTTGCAGCATGTGGCCCGTTCTCAGTCGAATATTGTGACACAAACTTTCAATATGCGAAACTTAGCCAAATTATTAAGGGAAAAATCTTGTAGCACAATCCCAAATTATTGCATCTCTATATACTAATCCTGCTTCCAAAAGCGGACTATCCATCGTGCCACGTCGCCCGTTAAGCCGCAAGCCGTTCGATCTGGCGAACTTGCGACGGTGGCCGTTCGATTGCGGATCGGTTTGGTCTCTACCCGTTTCGCTGTAAACCCGAAACCTCGGGAACCTTCTTGGGCTCATCCGTCGAGCGGCTGTTCGTCCAATTCCCCAACCTCGACCCAAACCCTAGCGCGCATCCGGCTCGGTGGGCGGCAGCTCCTGTTCGAGGCACGGCGGCGGCAGCGGGCGACGAGGCGAGGCGCAGCGGCGGCGGGCGGTGGGCGGGCGACTGCGCGTGCGCGAGGCACTGGCGGCGACAGCCGGCCGGCTCGGGCTTGGGGCCGTGACGCGAGCGGCTGCTGCGGTGCGCCGGGCCGGGGCTGCCGGCTGCGGCCTGTTGGCGCGACGAGACCTACGAGGGCATCGAGGCCCCGCACTGGGCCGACCTCACCGACCCCAACGCCGGCCGCGCCGACGTCGACGACAAGGCCTGGTTCTGCCGCCCCGGTACGCTCTCCCTTCCCTCCCGCTCTCTTGCTGGCTCCCCCCTCGCAGGCGGGCGCGCGGGCGGTGCTCCTGTTGCCTGTTGGTTGGGATCCGTTATGATTTGACTGCGAGGAGATCAAATCAATGCAGTGCGCGCTGATCGACGGGTTGCCCGGTTCTTGCTTTCTTCCTTGGGGATGGATTCTCTTGCAACATTGGAAGTTTGCTTCTAAACGAGCGGTGCTGATCTTTTGATTTGCGGCCCTTTTTGTTCTTTGCGCGCCGCGCCCGCCTCGATCAAATCCCGTTCTCACCCCCTTCGTGCGTTGCTCAGGGACGGCAGTAGCAATCTCAAGTGGCAGGGCGGCGGCGCCGTGCCTCCTCCACGCCGCCGAAGCCAAAGGCAGCGCCCAAGAAGAGGTTCCAGGAGGACAGCGAGAACCAGGACCCTGCGCTGGCCACGCCGCCCCCACGACAGGCGCCAACTAGTAGGCCGCCGTTCGGTGCCCCTCGGTGGAACAAGAATGCCAAGGAGGCCATCAAGTCCAGTGCGGAGAAGCGGCCGGACAATTCTGAGAAGGAGGCGCTGCTCAACAAGTACGCCCCGCCGAGGCAGCTCAAGAGCACCCTCTCAGCGAGGAATCTCTTCTTTGGAAAGGATATACTTGGCCAGATTTCGGAGTTCTACGATGAGCTGAAGCGGATGGTTGGAGGCGGCTGGCCTGTCACAGACACACAGGAGGAATACAGCTCAAACCCAATGTAAACCTCTCCTCATCGAAGGAATGCTGGAATTCAATTGTCGGGTTCTCTCTATGAGGCTCCTGACAGTTTCATTCGTGCAGGAATCCGAGCGATTTGATGGAGAAGGTATCTCCTGATGCCAGCGTCAGCAATCCAGTTCCCGCAGATACCGTGAAGGAGGTGGCGAGACAAGAAACAGTGAAAAAGAGTCCAAGCCCAATGTAATTTGCAAATAGTCATCCCAATGCAAACTTATGCGTATAGGTTGTACTGATTGTTGCTTACGGCGCTGATGTTGGTTTCTGCAGGAAGGGAAAGAAAGTGGGGCTGAAGGTGGAAGCAGGGAAGCAAAGGTCTCCCTCTGTGCTGAAGGAAGTGAAGGCAAGGCAACACCGCCCACTCCAACGGTTTCCATCCATCCCCATCGCCAAACCGCATTAAGAATGTTAAACCTGGAGGGGTGGCCACAGCAGGATCGCCACTCAAGAAGCCACTCAAGGTGAATCCAGCATGGCTATAGTATTTGCTTACTCGGTGTCCGTGGCTTTAAATCATGGTGTTTACTTGATTTTTACTGTCTTCATTTCTGGGACTTCAAATTCTTCAAGGGCATGTAATGTTCACAAAAAGCATGGTCCACTTTTGTAGATCTTAGTATGGAAGAATACATTAGAGTGACTTCTGCTCTAAAATAAATGATTGGCTACGACTGCTTCTTCCCCTGATGATTTAATACATCCTACGATGAGCTAAATTAGCATCACCCCAGTTCACCATACTTCACAAACTAAATTTGTTGAACCATGTGAAAGATTAGGTCATGAGATGTTACCGAATGTACTAACTATATATGTCAAGGCATATTTTCTATAAATCCTAATAATGATGCTTGTTCATAACCTGGTATTCATTGTAAGCCTCATAGTGGATGGCCTCAAATAGTTTTTTCAACTTATCTTATGTTCATTGTGGATGATCTCATTAGTTGTGTGTGTCATGAATCATCTTAGAATTACCTATTCTAATAGTCTTTGCCTTAGACCATGAGACATGAAGACTCAGTTTGGTAATTGTTTTCAATCACCTCCAGTTATAATTTTATCTCCTCAATTTTGACTGAACAAAACATTTTCAACAGTTACAAAAGAGAAGTGGTAGATTATCCTGGAGATACTAAGACTAAGATACAATGCGTTGATGCTTCCATACTCTTCGACAAGACAGGCAAATTTTAGCATACACGAAGACATGGAGTTGCTGCTGAAGAAACAACACAAGGTCGAACCCTTGCATCAGAGATCTTCCTGGCCACATTGGCTGCGTTGCCTTCAACGTCAAATATACGTTTATTGTCTACTGAAAAACAACATAGCCTATTAGAAATCTACTAGCTACAACTGAATCTTGAAAAACATCACATATATCAAACTGTGCATTTGTCCAAGGAGCATTGCCTTGCATACACAAGGATCATTGCAAGAGATGTCTACAGAGATAATCTTCTCCAAACTTGTATGCTTACTCTGCCTCCAAATAATTTACAAGGCTACTTGCTTGTGATCTTGAAGCTGTCATAGTTTGATTCCAGAATGAGTGATAACAAGGGGATTCAATTCAGAAATTCCTAGAGACATATATAGAGGGGCTAGTTGCCTACTGCAAGGGCGCGGCAAAGCCGCGCCTGTCATGAAGGCGCACAAGGTAGAGAGAGAGGCTTGTGGGGTGTGCGTAGCACTGTTCCTCCTGGTACTGGACCAATCACCATCAGCCATGCACACACGCTAGCTTCCAAGGTCCTGCGGCCCCGCGCTTAGCTTCACGTGAAAAGGTTGCCGAGCCGATAAAAGAGCGCGCCACGTAGGCCAGAGAATCCGGCGCGGCCAATGGGAGCACGCCATGTCAGCGGATAAGGGAAAATCATGGGACCTTTTCCGTTGGGGTGGATGGGATGGGCAATCAGTATGAGCTTAAAGGCATCTTAGCTCGGCTGTTTACTAATAGGCCATGTTCGCTTCTCTTATAATTCGTACTTTTTAGTTTGTTTTTTTTAGCTGTAACAGTATTTTTCTCTCACAACAAATTAGCTGGAACAGTGTTTCGGCTTTTTTTTCAGCGAAGCGAACGGCCCTAAAATGCCCCTGTAGTTTGCTTTTGGTGGCTACAACTCCACAGGAAATGCATATTGTTGTTATGTATGTAGGTAGGACATATATGAACAAAATGTTTTGGGTATCACAAACTCACAATGAATTTGTTCCAAAAAAACATTCATATATATACATATGAAATGATGTATGAGGGTAGTGAAACTTACACTACTTTCTGCTTGATTTTTTTTAGAAAAAAAGAAAAATCTTTTATTCCAGACTCCGTAAGAGTTCTGCACTCAATCATTCATTATTATCAAGTTCTAGCCTCCGGTTGATGAAGAGTCTTTCAAAAGACATAAAAGCTGAGAGACCAAAAAAGACTAATAACAAACTAAGCCCTAAACCTATTCAAAGGTAGCCCGTAGCCACCCATTTTTTATGAAAATATCCATTGTCATAGTCTCCAACACTTTGCTCGATTTGTTTGTTGTTTGTTACAATCTTCAGAATAATGCATGGTTAAAAACAGTAATATTCACTATGTAGAAATTACCAAGATTTATTATCTAATATTATTTTGACAATGTAGAAGTACTTTTGGTCACAAATCTATTACCATTTTTCAAGTGACAGCTAACCACTTCGGTAAAATACAAGTGTGTACCTATGTCCTCCTCGATGAGCAAGTGCTTTTAAAAAGGGACACATGATATTTTTTTAAGAAATATGGCGTGCATTTCTTGATAAATGGAAATATGATTTAGACACCCCTCGTATTTCTTAGATACCCTCGTATGATTCAAAAAAAAAAAGAATCTATAAATGACAGATACTATCAGAATTTGGAATCTCATTTCTCCAGCTACATTTAGCTATATATCGACCGCACTTGGTTGGACCCCATGTTGTTCTTGAATTTGTCCTCTAACCGAAATAGAAAAGGAGGCAGAAATAATAAAAAAAACTCATATGTACTTCATTCAGTCTAGCAGCAAGTAGTGCTGAATCTATCTATGCAATCGACCAAAAGCATGTATACACGTCACAGGAAATGCCAACAGGCAAGTTTAAACAAATGCCATTGTACTAATATATTTATGCCAGTCCATTATAAAAATATCACAACAAAAATAAAATACGATTATTACTATGGGATGCCGAATTACATTAGTAGTATATTTAACATGAATCTGCACACAGACATGGAGGTAGCATGCATCAGGACAAAGGGTGGTACTTGACATTTCACCAAGAAAAAAACATATGGGAGGAAAGCTTCAAAGATTTGCTTTTCATACAGCACAAGAGGCATGACGACAAGACAAGCTGTATTAGTCCAAAAGAGAATGCCATTAAGTAATGCTTATTCCCATGTTTCATTGGCCACTTCCGTCTCTAGCTAGAAGAAATGTTATTGACCCCTAGCATGGTTAATTACAAGGAGACAACCAAAGAAACAAAATGCCAATTAAGCTTAAAAAAGATTCGTGCTCAAATAACTTATTTTTAATTATTTTATTTCTAAATGCCGCAAAACCACTGTGAGATCATAACGTTTAGAAGAGTAAAAATGATTCCAACAAGTCCTAACAAATTGTCAGATTATTGCTTACAATTTTCACTGGTTGTGATCACCTCTCCTTGTGTATAATTCTTATTTTTGTCTCCTTTCCTCCACACTTTGCCATTATGTTTGTTCAATCAAAGGTGTACTAGCAATTATGGGAATCACACATATTGTTCTTGCTACTACCAGCTTCCTTACTTTGTGAGACAGACTTGCAGTAGTTGGCAGGCATAGAAATAAAAATACTTTCAGTCATCCAGTGAGGTTCTTCAAAAGAAGAAGAAGAAGGAATAAGCATCTCAGCAGTCCCCCAATACAACTCCCTCAATAAGATGGTATTAGAGTAGCCCAATATCACTTTCTAGATTTATTGAGGAAGTTGCTACAGCAATACCCCAATATATCTCCCCCAATACCCATATGAAAGGTGGGTCCCATAGGAGTGTAAGAGAAAATATGACTCAAAAGTGGTAGTTGGGATGGTCCTCATGGTATTGGGGAGTTGTATCTCCCTTTTTTTGAGGAGAGATGAGGGAAATATTGGTGGCCACAAAAAAGAGAGAGAGAGGTATTGAAGAACTACTGGAGTAAGAAAAAAGCATAGATATTCCTAATATGTTAGTTTTATGGGGATAGGGAGGCACTGGGGACTGCCGGAAATGCTCGGGATGGTGAATTTTGGGAGGTAGGGCAAATTGGTCTCATGTAGCCATTTGCAAATCTCAGATGACCATGGATGAAAACGGTACGGATATTTATTCGACCGTCCGTTCGACCGAACAAATATGAACACTTATCTGGATAGTTACTCGGATATCCGTAATTTTTTTCGGATACGGATACTAAAACGGATATCTTAGGCGGATATCAAATACGGATGTAATATCATCGATATCCGGCGGATATCGGATAATCCGGTTAAGTATCGGATATATCCGGATATTTAAAAACGGATATTATCCGGATATTATTCAAACGACCTTGGATGGAGAAATGATCAAAATAAAAATTGTAGATCTAAAAAGTTATGAAACTTTGTTGTTTACAACTTTTTCGTTTGAAATCATTTAGTGCTTCAAAATTTAAACCGTCCAAACTTTCTCAAATGGAAAACTAGTTTATAGGCGTCAAAATTTAAAAATCATAAATTTGAACCATCCAAACTATCTCAAATGGAAAGTTGACCAAAACAACAATTGTAGATCTTGATGAGTTGAACAAACTTGGTATTCAAAACTTTTCAATTTAAAGTCATTTAGAGTTCATAATACTAGAGTCAAAGTGTTATTTTTTCATTTGACTAAATTTGACTTGGTCAAACTTGCTCAAATGAGACACTAAATGACCTCAGATGAAAAAAACTCTGAATACCAAGTTTGATCATCTCAGCAAGATCTACAATTTTTACATAGCTCATTTTCCCATTTGAGAAAGTTTTATCAAACACTAGTCACAAATTCTTGAATCTCATATAGACTTTCTGAAACTATGTCACACACTTGTGAAATTTAAACTATATTTTGTTCAAACTTTCTCAAATAAAAAAATGGCCTATATAAGGATTGTAGATCTTGATGAGATGAACAAATTTGGTATTCAAAACTTTTCAATTTGAGACAATCTAGGGTTCCGAAAACTAGTTTGTAAACGTCGAAATTTAAAAATCACAAATTTGAACCGTCCAAACTATCTCAAATGGAAAGTTGACCAAAACAATAATTGTAGATCTTGATGAGTTGAACAAACTTGGTACTCAAAACTTTTCAATTTGAAGTCATTTAGAGTTCATAATACTAGAGTCAAAGTGTTGTTTTTTCATTTGACCAAATTTGACTTGGTCAAACTTGCTCAAATGAGACACTAAATGACCTCAGATGAAAAAACTCTGAATACCAAGTTTGATCATCTCAGCAAGATATACAATTGTTACATAGCTCATTTTCCCATTTGAGAAAGTTTTATCAAACACTAGTCACAAATTCTTGAATCTCATATAGGCTTTTCTGAAACTATGTCACACACTTGTGAAATTTGAACTACATTTTGTTCAAACTTTCTCAAATGAAAAAATAGCTTATATAAGGATTGTAGATATTGATGAGCTGAACAAACTTGGTATTCAAAACTTTTCAATTTGAGATAATCTAGGGTTCCGAAAACTAGTTTGTAAGCATCGAAATTTAAAAATCACAAATTTTAACCGTCCAAACTATCTCAAATGGAAAGTTGACCAAAACAATAATTGTAGATCTTTATGAGTTTAACAAACTTGGTATTCAAAACTTTTCAATTTGAAGTCATTTAGAGTTCATAATACTAGAGTCAAAGTGTTGTTTTTTCATTTGACCAAATTTGACTTGGTCAAACTTGCTCAAATGAGACACTAAATGACCTCAGATGAAAAAACTCTGAATACCAAGTTTGATCATCTCAGCAAGATCTACAATTGTTACATAGCTCATTTTCCCATTTGAGAAAGGTTTATCAAACACTAATCACAAATTCTTGAATCTCATACAGACTTTCTAAAACTATGTCACACACTTGTAAATTTTGAACTACATTTTGTTCAAACTTTTTCAAATGAAAAAATGGCCTATATAAGGATTGTAGATATTGAATCCATGACCATGACTCCATGAGACCCATGAAGCCATGAGCTTGGCTATTTCTACTCATGCCGCAAAGATTGGTGCTTGTATGATGTTTGATGTATGATGTATATGTATCTTTATCTTATTTATTGCTTTACTCTTTAGTCTTTCGGCTTAATCTAGATGGATTATGGACTCATAGAGTGGTGTAATGATTTGCGCACGTATGATATATATATATATATATATATATATATATATATATATATATATATATATATATATATATGCTGCTTTTACTCAATATCCGAATAGATATTTGTATCCGACCTTCTCCGAATCCGATTCATACCGTATTCGATACTCATTATTCGTATCCGTAACTGAGTCAATCCGTATTCGTATATGTATCCGAACGCTATCCGTGTCCGAATCCGAATCCGAACAGAAATATAAAAATAAATATAATATAAGTGATATCCGTTCGTATCCGATCCGTTTTTATCCCTACAGATGACAAACAAAGCAATCCCAACACATAGTTTTTTTTTGTATAAATAAAATGCTTGTACGTACAAAGCACCACAAACTGGTACGTAATTGTACGTGAATCTCGGAGCTGCAGCAAATTGCTCACGGCTCGCTCTTGCTAGTTTTGCGGTTATATTAAGGCCCCGTTTGGTACGGCTTTGGTTCGTGAAAAAACAGCTCTGGCTTTGGCTCATATGAAAAAGTAGTTTTTTCTGGCTCTGGCTTATTTTATACGAAAACATTTAGCAAAACGGCTTCTCCTAGCTTTTAAGAATGTATAGAAGATGTCAATTGTCCATTGTACCCTTATCTTTCTCTTTTCTTCTTTCATTTTTTTTCTTTTTTTATCCTCTTTTCTTCTTTTCTTCTTTTCTCCTATTTTTCTTTTCTTTTTCTTTCCTTTCTTATTTCTATTTCCTTCTTCCCTTCTTTTCTTTTTTTCCCCTCCTTTCTTTCTCTCTCTCCGGTTTCTTTCATCGGCGATGCTGCAGTCCTGGAGAGGACTGTCCTTTTTCGTTTTCTCTCTCCGATTTCTCCCTAGCGCTGTGTCTAACCCGGCCCATGGACACATGCGTCTTTACGCGAAGTAAGGCAAGGATGAGCCGCAAGAAGCCAAAAAACTAGCTCACCCCGTAGTACAAGCCGGTGTCCATAGGGTTAGGCTATCCGCATTCGTCGACCTCTATTTCCATCTATAAAAAGGAATATTATATTCTAATCATTGAGATTCTCTACTCTATACCTATTTCTTCCACACCCGTATTATCTCTATCCCATACTCTATATCCACTATTTCATATTTTATTCCCCTCTCTCCCTAACTCGCTCTCTTCCTGATACACAGTGTTTAGCGTGGCTCTTTCGCATGCGCGGTCTATGGCGGGTTCCTGTGCAGCCGGTACGCTCCCGGGGCCTTTGCAAGCGCGCGGTGCGGACGCGCGGTACGCTACCGCTGGCGTACCGGCCGCTTTAGCGCTCTGCGGTGCGGTCAGCCTTATACCTGGAAGCCGGTTTGAACGACACCCTTGGGCACGGCTTAGGCCCTGTTGAGATGTGAAATTTTTTATAAAATGCAATTATAACGCTTTTCGTTGTTATTTGGTAATTAATGTCAAATCATAGTCTAATTAGGCTTAAAAGATTTATCTCGTGAATTTCGTCTAAACTGTATAATTAATTTTATTTTTTATTTATATTTAATACTTTATACATGTATCCAAATATTCGATGTGACAAAAAATCTTAAAAAATTTAGCAAAATGAAGTGGAACTAAACATGGCCTTACCCATAAGCGGCTCCCGAAGCGGGTACATAAGAGCACATAGTCCCAGTACACCAGTACGAGTTCTCTAGTTGAGGGTCAAGTCAAGTAGTACACCTCGTAAACAGTGGCTGGCCGGTGCCGTCTCTGTCTGGCCTTGACCCCATCCCCATGACCAGGACAGTAGCCAAACAGCTAGTCCCATTTATTTTTGGCCGGTTGGCAGCTTCCTCGCACTCGTCTCGACGGCCGGCCAACAAGTTCAGGTCAGGTGACTCATGAGCATTCGCAGTCGGCACGCAGCTCTACTGTACCCAAGCTTGACCTGACTCTTGATACACAACTCACCATAGTTTTTATAGACATTAATTAAACTACAAATATTAATTATATTATCATCTAAGCGTTTTATTGACGTGGCAAAATAGTTATTAAAGAGATAATAAAAATCATAGAAACCGGGTCTAAGATAGAAATCATAGGCCTGTTCGCTTCTCTTATAATTCGTCTTTTTCAGCATATTTTTTTAGCAGGAACAGTGTTTTTCTCTCACAATAAATCAACCAGAACAGTGTTTCGGCTTGTTTTATTAGTAAAGCGAACGGACTCCATATCTGCATGAAAACCAAGACATAAAGAGATATAATTGATAGAGAATGGAGAGAAAATGTAGATGATCGGAGGACCGTAGTTTCTATGTAGTTCTATACGTAGCATTGGATTGCCATAACATCGGCGGGCCGGGCGTCACCCTCGGTGCTTCATCGATCACCACCACCTGTCCACGCGCCCGCCCTCACGTGCCCCCCTACCTCACATTTCGTGTGGGGCCCATATCACATCAAACTCCCCGGAACCACCGCCGTTTCCTATTTTCCTTCCTCCCATCATTCATCCGCGCAGCTGCAGCCTGCAGAGCCTCAGCCCGTTCAGACCAGTCCTCCGCGGGGCGAGGCGTCTTTAAAAAATTTGAAAACTCTTCGCGGCCCGGCGCCGCACCCCACGTGTCGGGGCGGTACTGGATTCCGGCGGTGGCCAAGATGCCTATTTATATTTATCCATCGTCTTGGGAGAGCCTCCAGGTTGTATCGTAGGTCTCCCTCTCCTCTCAAGACTCACAGTGCGCTTTGTAGAACGCAGAGCAGATCAACAGAGGCTCTTGTGTTGTTTGGTTTCCTTGTTTCTCCAATCCCCAGTAGGAAGGGAAGGGAACGTCAGGTCTGCGAGCGATGGGCATCGTCGACGTCGTCTCCGAGTACTGCTCCTTGCCGAGGACTCGCCGGCATCTCAAGAAGAGGAAGCAGTTCCAGGTACACATCTTTTTCAATCTTGTTCTGTTTCACTTCGGGATCGATCTTGTTATTAATCCATCCATCCATACATACATATATTCCTGCCCAAAGCCCAACAACTGAGCTGACCTCAACTGAACATGCAGACGGTGGAGATGAAGGTGCGGATCGACTGCGAAGGCTGCGAGCGGAAGGTGAAGAAGGCGATGGAGGACATGAAGGGCGTGAGCTCGGTGGAGGTGACGGCGAAGCAGAACAAGGTGACGGTGACGGGGTACGTGGACGCCGCCAAGGTGATGCGCCGCGTCGCCTACAAGACGGGCAAGCGGGTGGAGCCGTGGCCCTACGTGCCCTACGAGATGGTGGCGCATCCCTACGCGCCGGGGGCCTACGACAAGAAGGCGCCCGCCGGGTACGTCCGCAACGTCGTCGCCGACCCCACCGCCGCGCCGCTCGCCAGGGCGTCGTCCACTGAGGTCAGGTACACCGCGGCGTTCAGCGACGAGAACCCAAACGCCTGCTCCGTCATGTAGACAGATGGTGCCGGTGGGGGACCTGGACCTCAAGAGGGTGGTGGCAGCTTTCGTTCCAGTTGCTTTGTTGCTGTTGGAGCTTTTGTTCTTTTCATTTTTCATTTTTTCCTCCTTTCCGGTTTGATGTACTAGACCAGAAGAAGATGTAGTGGTATGTGTTTTGATTTTGTGAAAAAAGAACGAATTTGTAATGGCAGCAGTTTTATCAGCGTTGTGGAAACTGAGGCCCTGTTTAGATCCCACCTAAAATCCAAAAATTTTTAAAATTCTTCGTCACATCAAATCTTATGGCACATGTATGGAGCATTAAATGTAGGTAAAAAGAATAACTAATTACATAGTTTGCCCATAATTAGCGAGACGAATCTTTTAAATCTAAATAATCTATAATTAAACAATTTTTATCAAATACAAACGAAAGTGCTACAGTAGCTAAAAACAAAAAATTTCGCATCTGCCTGAATCGGCAAAATCAGTCGTCCTTGGTACGGCTAGCAGTGAAAGCAATGATTGGTTACAAAGGGTCGTGCAAATATCCTAGCAACAGCGTAGTGGTTTGGGTATGGATTTGAGCACTGATGAGACGCGCCACGGTGCATTATTTCGGTGGTTGCAAACGCCAAACGGTAGGTACCCTTTGGCCTTTGGGCGGCCACTTTTATTTGAGTTAGGTGAGCAGCCAGGTATTAGAGCATCTTCAACAGTTTCTAAATATCATTTTAATCCTTATTTTTTTTAGAAAGATAAGAAAAAAATCCTCCCCAATAACTCATAATATTTACTCCTGATCTTTTAGGACTCGGGAAAAAATAGGCCAACACGCGCAAAGATCCGCCCTCTCCCCGTCCGTGTATCCTCCCTGTCGCGTGTCTTCCTCCTTCGCACACCGTAGGGAAGATTTCCCGCGACCTTTTTCCCCGGCAATCTTCTCCAGAGACGCAGCGTGCGAGGTTACAGCAGCTGCGGTCCGACTCCGGCAGCCAGCGTGGAGGGGCGGCGGCGCCGCATCTCCTGCACTGCGGCGGCTTCGGCCGCGTCACGCACCTCCCGGCGCTCCCCGGCCGCCGCCACTGATGAGGACAGCTCCCACGCGTCCACGCCGCCACGGAGGCATAGAGCCGAAGCCGGCCACGGTTCCGAGTGGTGTCCAAGTAGATCTAGCGCGTGCGCAAGCAGATGGAGCAGATTTAGCAGCTTTGCCGCAGCGCATGTGCGGCCTCCGCGTCCGAGCGCGGTTAAATCGGCGATAATGTCTGCCTCCGCCTTGTCGAGGTCCGTCCGAACTGCAACCTCCTTGATCCCACGTTAACTCAGTGTGCTCTCTTCTTCTATAACCATGCGTAGGTGGCCGGTGATTTCACGTGGGGATGCTCTCTTCCTACTGTGGCCGTCGTCAAGCAGGTGGCCTCAAGCAGGATGTGGATGCGGTCGTCAAGCAGGATGCGTGGAAAAAAAGAGGACTGCAGAAAAAAAAATCAAATGGGACTAGCATTTGATTTTTTAAAGTCAAATATTAGGAACTATTGGAGATAATTTTTTTTCTCCTAAAACCTTTTTAGGAGTTGGTAAACATAAACTTTTTAGGAGGAATATTTAGGGAACTCTTGGTGATGCTCTTTAGTTGCAAACTTGTGCTTTGATCGGTTCTGATAAGCCGGTGGAAACTGTTTTATTACGAGAGAAAAATACTGTAGATTCTAACAGATAAGCCGACTGATAAGTTCAAGCAAACGTAGCCTTGGAATTGACACCACGGGCTTCATGAATTCGGATAAACAAATAGTTTAAGTTGAAAATCAAAGTTGTCCTGCTGGCTGGCGTTCATCGCTGATCCTTGAGCGAGGTCATTTGTTCCTACAGTCCTACTGTTCTCCCTTCGTCCTCGGTTCCTTTCCCCGGTCTTTTTCTGCTCTGGAGTTGAAGGTTCTAAGGTCTTGAGCAAGTTTCAGCAATTTCTGTTTAAGAAACAAACGGATAAAAATAGTAGTAGATACTAGACGGTTTGGAGGCCCGGCATAACCCATGGGCCATGGTCGTAAGATCTACGGGCCACTCTGGAACATGTCCAGTCAATAAATGCCACATGAGATTGCCATTAATTAATTAAACAATCATGAATCTGTCAGTTTGGCAGATTCTGCATTCCGTACTTCATTAAAGTGTACTAACGTATATGCAAGGCACAGCAGAGGATCGCTGATGGTGAACCCCTCAAAATCACATCACATACAATTTAGACGTGATCAACTAGGAGAACAAAGCCTTACAACAACCAAGTTCCCAAGTCAAAATACTGTTCCTCCGTGCTAGTACTTCATATCTGGCAGAGCATTATTGCATACATTTAATTCTGGCAAAATTTTGAGTAGCCTCGATGTATAGGCACAGATTCCACTAAATTCTTTAAAAGAATGTTGTCAAAATTCTAGTTTCCTTCTGCATCCTGTATTCTTGATGGTTCTCCAACTGCAACTTCCATACGTTGGTACCAATCACCGATTTCAGTATTCTCAACCATATCTTTTCCTGCTCTCAAGTACCGGATAGGTCTCAGAACACCGAAGACGGCAAGATCTGCCAAGTTAGGCTTGGAGCCACCTGGAGGAACAGCCACAGTTAGTATTGCTTCAAGAAATAAAATTATCTCTACTGTTTCCCTATTCCTATGCCCTTGTTTTTAGCAAATGAATAAATAGGATACCCAGAAATTCTCTTCCATTCAGGGCTTCGATCCATGTATTGGCAGCATCATACAATGAAGCACGCTCATCAGTTATGTTATATTTCTTCTTTAGCTTCTTAGATACCATGTACATGGCTGCAGCACCAGCATACTTCACGGCAAACCTCTCTGTAAAACTGAAATTACCTGCATAACAAAGTTTGGAAAAGAGCATTTATTGTCATATGTGAAAATAACAAAAAAATAAAATCACGAGTCACACAATTCAAGTAAATTTGTGTAATCATCCATATAAAAAAATGATAACCCTCACATCTGTTGGTACAGTACAAAATAGATTTTAGTCCAATGTCAAAACTCATTGGAAGATAAGTCAGAGAACCAAAATTGCAAGCATTCCACAACTCTACAAGTTGCTGGACAGATCAATGAAAGCATAGATTTGTACAAAAGCACACCGTGTACAACCTTCTTAGTGTCTTATTAGTGTGGTGTCTAGTGCCGTGTGGTTATTCCAGCCACGTGCTGTACATTAAACTCTTTCTCCTTAATTGAAAGGCAGAGCTCCTGCCATTTGCGTTAAAAAAAAGAACCAAAATTGCATTCATTTTTCTGGACAGCCATCAGGATAGGAAACAACCCTATTATGTATGAGACCGCACTGACAGTGTGTATTAGAAATGTTTGTTTGCAGAATTCACAAGATTCATCGATGATCAAGACGAGACTATGTTGTTTGTTTGTAGGGTTCACGAGACCAAGAATTTTGTGTCAGGTACCGTGTACAGAGCAAAAAGGCAAAAAATTTGATGTATTTGCTGGTATCTAAACATCCAAAAACAATTTGATGTATGTACTGTCTCTGAGCTGATACAAAATCCCAAGAAAAAGATGGACCCGGTGTGCTTGTATCTCTAAGCTGATGTAAAATCACCAGCAAAAAGGCAATCTAAGCAATTGAATGTACCCGCAAAATGAAAATGATGAAAAAAGGGAAAACGGTGTTTTTGCCCCTGTCCGAAAGCTTAATTGTGATTTTACCCTTATTTTTTTAACTTTGTGATTTTACCCCTATTATTTTGAAACGAAGGAGCTGTTTGCCCTTGGTTTGGATGTCCGTTATTTTGGGGCTGATTAAACGATTTAAAAAAAATAAAACACATAAAATCAAATGCGAAATGACTGAAATGCCCCTTCCTCTTCATTCTTATCCGCTCGTTCTCTTCGCTGCTATCTGCTCGCGACAGCGAGTCCGGGTGGCAACGGCGGCGTCCCTGGCTTCTCTTCCCCGACGCAGACAGGTGAGGCCTCCCCGGCGTGGATCTGGCGAAGCCCCTCCCGACACAGGCAAGCGAGCCCTCTCGTGCGGCTTCTCTCCCGCCCGCCCGCCGGACGAGAGCCTTCCTTCCAGCGCGGATCCGGCATCCTCCTGGCCCCCGCCGCGGACGAAGTTCCCACGCCGCGGCCGTGTGGTGGCAGCAAACAGAGGGCGGGGGCAGGGGCCGTGGCGTGGCGGGCGGGCGGTCGAGCGGCACAGGCAACGAGGGCGCCAGCGGTCTCGTCTTGGGGTTGGGCGCGCTCCCGGCGTGCGTGGCACTGGCAGCGGGTCTCCGCGCCGCCTCCTCCCTCCTTCCTTCGCCGCTCCCGCCCCACGCAGCTCCCGTGCCTGCACCGCGAAGCGAGAGGAAGGTGGAGGCGTCAGCGTTCGGACGGCGCCCGCCGACTTCGGCGGTCGTCTTTGGTGCTGCCTACGACCGGGCCGTCGCCTCCCGCGCCCGCGCACGCGCCGACGGCGAGGAGCCACCACGGGCCGACTCGCTGCGTGCACGCGGCTGCGAGCTCGCTTCCGCGAAGCCACGCCTTTGTTTTCTCAGCGGCCGCGCGTGCTGCTCGACCGCCGCCGTTTTTCTTGATGCCGTGGACCGCCGCCGATGCCAACTTCCCGCCGCCAAGAACCGTCCAACCGAGTTCGCGACGTCGCCCTGGTGCTGTAGAGCCGCCCTGCTCGCTCTTTCGTGGACCGGAGCACGAGATTGAGAGCTGCCCGTGCGCTATCCACGCGCCTCCCCCGACGGCGTTCGCGTCCTCGGCCGGCGCCAGACAAAGGCCCCCTTCCCCCACAGCTTCCGCCCTCAGAGCCCCTCAGCCACCACTGACCTCGCCCCAGCTAGGCCCCAAAGATCAAGCATCTCCGGTGGCAGCGCCATGGCCGGACGGTCGACCCAGCACCACAAGACAACCGAAACCTCGGCGACAGGGCAAAATCACAATTAGGCATAAAAACAAGGGGCAAAATCGCATGGACATTCATGTCTTTTGTACAAAGTTTAACACCGTTAGGGGTGGATGACGGAGCAGGGGCAAACTGGTGCTTCGTGAATGGCACAGTAGGGGTAAATTCACAAAGTCAAAAAAATAGGGGCAAAATCACAATTTCGATACAAAACAAGGGTACAAACGCAAGAGCCCCATGAAAAAAAAAGATGAAACTTTAACTGCACATCTCTGAAAACTTATGTAGAATCACCAGCTTTTTGACAGAACCACCAAAGAGAACAATCATGCATTCGACATTCTAGCTATATGTGTTCATTGTGTTGCCATGGTTCACACATTATCTGAGAATGCACTTGCCAAAATGGATTTCATAGGTCATCAACACTCAAAACTAACAGATCTAAGAAAAGATGATGTGGGGCCCTTGCTCTTTATTTTCGTCAAGGCATAGAAGAAGGCCTGACAACCATATGAGGGCCATAGCAATCAACAAAATCAAGTTCTAAATATTATGTGATACATTTCTCTTTTTTTATCGAACGAATTCCATGATACATTTCTTGTTCCATGCCATCCCATAAAGGATAGCAATCCACAAAGGATCCTACTTTCTGACAACAACAACAAAGCCTCCCAAACAAGTTGGGGTATGCTAGAGTTGAAACCTAGCAGAAGCAATCAAGGTTCAGGCACGTGAATAGCTGTTTTCCAAGCACTCCTATCTAAGGCTAAGTCTTTCTGAAAACGGCATAATTGTCTTTTGTGAGTACCCTGAGCTCTGATAGTATCTAGGGCATAAAAGTGTTAAATACTCCTTTATATATTGTCACTAGATGGATTTTTACCCCCAAGGCCAAAACTGCATCTTTCTCATGACACCGCATGTTTAGGGGAATGACATGTACAAAAGATGGGTAACTATTTCAATCATATCTGGAGAAGAAAAGATGGGTGATGGCACAAGAACCCACAGAAGATAGTGTTGGGCTATTGTCACAAAAACTGAAAATCAGTAGTGTTTGGCTATTGTCACAAAAACAGAAAATCAATCTGGTAGCCAAAACTTCCAATAGTAGCAGCCAAAAATTATGTATCTGAAAAGGCCAAAAATGACCTACAATTTGGAACCAAGGTAATAAAATGCAACAGAACCAAATTTGGGAGTGGCAAGAAGAAATACGTTTAACAATGACAACCGATAATAAACATATCTGGTTTGCTGAAATAACCATAATAGATTATAGCCAGATTTGTCTGCAACGCGCCTCGGTAAGGAGCAACCAAAATTATAGTATGGCTTTGTTAGTCGTTGAATTCTCACTCTTGGTAGTAGCAGAATTCTCACTCTCATCGAGAGAGGATGACACTAGGAGTTGGGACAATTTTTCTGGTTTATTTCTCAATGCCATGCCAACCTGAGGGGTTGGAGATACATATTTATAGGCTGCTAGCCAGCCAAGCATATGCCAAGATGCTAGTTTAAGATGCTAAGATGTTAGTCTAAGATGCTATCCTAGATGCTAATCCTAGATGTTAAGATACTGTCCTAGCCAGTCAAGGATGCTGTCCTTGTGGCAGCACAGCAACAGCCAGCAGCCCCACAGTCCTCGTGGCACCTCGTGGCAGCAGTCATAGGTCATCAACACTCAAAACTAACAGATCTAAGAAAAGATGATGTGGGGCCCTTGCTCTTTATTTTCGTCAAGGCATAGAAGAAGGCCTGACAACCATATGAGGGCCATAGCAATCAACAAAATCAAGTTCTAAATATTATGCGATACATTTCTCTTTTTTTATCGAACGAATTCCATGATACATTTCTTGTTCCATGCCATCCCATAAAGGATAGCAATCCACAAAGGATCCTACTTTCTGACAATAACAACAACAAAGCCTCCCAAACAAGTTGGGGTAGGCTAGAGTTGAAACCCAGCAGAAGCAATCAAGGTTCAGGCACGTGAATAGCTGTTTTCCAAGCACTCCTATCTAAGGCTAAGTCTTTCTGAAAACGGCATAATTGTCTTTTGTGAGTACCCTGAGCTCTGATAGTATCTAGGGCATAAAAGTGTTAAATACTCCTTTATATATTGTCACTAGATGGATTTTTACCCCCAAGGCCAAAACTGCATCTTTCTCATGACACCGCATGTTTAGGGGAATGACATGTACAAAAGATGGGTAACTATTTCAATCATATCTGGAGAAGAAAAGATGGGTGATGGCACAAGAACCCACAGAAGATAGTGTTGGGCTATTGTCACAAAAACTGAAAATCAGTAGTGTTTGGCTATTGTCACAAAAACAGAAAATCAATCTGGTAGCCAAAACTTCCAATAGTAGCAGCCAAAAATTATGTATCTGAAAAGGCCAAAAATGACCTACAATTTGGAACCAAGGTAATAAAATGCAACAGAACCAAATTTGGGAGTGGCAAGAAGAAATACGTTTAACAATGACAACCGATAATAAACATATCTGGTTTGCTGAAATAACCATAATAGATTATAGCCAGATTTGTCTGCAACGCGCCTCGGTAAGGAGCAACCAAAATTATAGTATGGCTTTGTTAGTCGTTGAATTCTCACTCTTGGTAGTAGCAAATTCTCACTCTCATCGAGAGATGACACTAGGAGTTGGGACAATTTTTCCGGTTTATTTCTCAATGCCATGCCAACTTTGAGGGGTTGGAGATACATATTTATAGGCTGCTAGCCAAAATAAAGCATATGCCAAGATGCTAGTTTAAGATGCTAAGATGTTAGTCTAAGATGCTATCCTAGATGCTAATCCTAGATGTTAAGATATCTTCCCTAGCTACCAAGGATGTCATCCTTGTGGCGGCCACAAAGAATGACCAAGAGCCCCACAGTCCTCGTGGCAGCGATGCACAAAGAATGGCTAGCAGCCCC